CTGCACCGGCTGAAGGCAGGCGACTATTATGCTCATCTATACGACGCCTGAGATTCCTAGCTTGTCCAATATAGGACACACTGGTATGCCTACTTGAGACAATAACGTAGACATACCCACGCAAGTCACTAGGAATCGGGGTATCTCTAGGACGGAATGGCCTGTGATTCATTTGAATGACAGGCGGCGCTGCAGGAGCACCTGTCAAAATACCTACTACATGGCGAACATAACCATCCCATTGCGTGGATTGACCCAGCAAGGTCCCGATGGCTTGCATCGTGTCGTCGACATTGCCGACGAAATATATATGTCCCATAGCTCTGACTCGAGATATGATCACATATAATTGCGATTTGAGCCACAGTTTATAAGCCGACCTTCTATCTGAGATTTCAGTCGCCACCATTCCTAACGTATCGCCCATCACCTTATGGATAGTCGAAGCTATGTAATGGCGGATGGGATACTGTTCACGCCTGACTTTCATTGTACCTTCTAAACGCTGGGGAATTGAGAACATCTTTGATATATTCAATTCTTGCCAGCCTTGGTCAATGAAGTCTTGTTCTAACTGAGGCACGTTCCTACGTCCTGCAGGAGCGACCCTAACAGAGACACTTCCTTCGTTCACTGGAAGTTCTCTTACTACGCAAAGCTGGCTCTGATGGAAAGCCCGTCTAGCAGAGGTATCATTACAAGTGAAGCGCATTATTGCACCGAAATGTAATGTAATACTCTGCGGAGCTTGCAACTTGCGATTCATTTTGTTAACGATGCGTTCTTGAGTAACTGGTAGCCAAACTTGGCCACCATCTAAAGTGTATTGGTCCTGAGATTCTACGACCACTTTAGGTATGGTGTTGTCTCGCTGTATACGCTCCAGTTGCCGCGAAACGGCCTCCTGCTCTGCTTGGCGATGGCCGAACACTTGTAAAGCTTCAGATGGAACGGTGCTCCAGCTTGAAGCAAAGTGGCAGTGCTGGAAAATGAGTTCCTGTATCCTATGAATATCAGCCTCGGTAGGCTGTAGTTTCTGGAATAAAGTTAAGACCTCCTGAAGGTTAACATCCGTCGATGACCGGACAAAGTGCTTCAACATAAGTAAACGTGTAGTACAGATGATTGAAGGGCTAGTCCACAACAAAGTTTGGTTTATGGGAGGGAGCTGATTGGGATCTCCGCTACCCATAAGGAGCACTCCGCCAAAAGGCAATGGAGAGTTGTGTAAAAACTGTAGAATCTTGCTCTGCACGTCCAGGATCTCAGCTCCTTCTGTGCCTATTTCTTCGTGAATAATAACCCGAACTGATTTCAACCATTGCATTTTAACAGGGTCTCTAGCCAGTTTAGTTAATGCCCTTTCAGCTATCAAACGGGATGATAAACAAGACGTGACAGGTATAGAGAATACTAAATGAATGTGTTCTCCTCCTAATGCTGCAGCACGTTCGCTAGCAACACTCGTCACTATGGTGTTTAGTCCTTTCGCCAGCGCATAAGCACCCCAGTGTGCTGTCACATGTGACTTACCGCTACCAGGCGGTCCCAATAGAATAGGAGCAGGGATAAACGCTGATTGTCCAGAGCAATATTGATCAATAGCGTTTAGACCAGTTTCGAGTGCTACTTGTTGCTCTTGAAAAGATTCGAGTGTTTGAGTAGCACCGCGCTCAATATGCGGACGCCACTGTAAAGGATTCGCCTGAGTAGCCCCAGCCAAGTCATCTACTGACGGCAAATCATGAATCGGATTTGAAAAACAGTGAAGTGCTTCAGCGAATGCACGCTTAGTTTCTGTCGTGCGCTGAACCAGGGCTGCTGAGGCTGCCTCAGTTAACTCATGACGTAAGACCAGTGGAGTTGTGTAAAATTGTAAATTTCCTCCAAGGAGTAAGCTGGTGAGAGCATCGTTCGCATCAAGAAGATGCCTATCGAACGAAGTAGTCCCTCCAGGTAAATAGAGCAACTGTGATAGAATATAAGTACGTAGAATCGAATTCACTTCCTGTTGAGTAGGATTAGCCGAATCCTGTATCAACCCGGCTGACTCAAAAGCCTGCCTTAAATGGTTAACAGCGAAAAGGTCGACTTCGGATTCAAACTTGCCTAATGAAAGAACTATATGAATAAGGAAGCGATCAGCATACTTTGGTAAAGGGTTAGAAAGTACCGCGATATGCGGCTTACAACTCTTTTGGAAAACGAACCGATCTAGCAAGTCCTGAGGAGCTTGTGCTAGCAACGGGTCAAGGATATGCTCAATTATTTGATCGACAAGCTGTCGTTGAGCGAGACTGTGGCGAGCAACATCATCTCGGTATGCTACGGCACATGCCTTGACACGATGCAGATGAGCAGGCAGTAATTGAATTTGCTTATCAAACCCATCAATCCACGGACAATCAGGGATGTTAATATCCAACAAACCTTCTTGCGGATTAATAGGATTGCCATCAGCATCATTCTGTCTAGGTCTTTTAATCGCAACTCTTACTACACATTCGAAATAATCTACTAAATTATCTAGAAACATAAGCTCTGGAGGACGAGAACTAAATATAGAGATGTGATCAACTGTAATATTACTATTATTAGAATCTACTATAGTCAAGCGTTGAGCATCAGTGAATTGCCTCTGTGGAGGGAAATGAAGAGCTTGTCTTGCAAGAACGCCCCAAACTTCTTCACCCTGACCACCAGGCCTAACACGTTGTCGCTGGTGCTTAATCACACCACCTCTGTCTTGCTTGAACCCTGTATTGATGTGAATGTACTGCGAACATAAATGAACATACGGAAAACCAAGGAGCCACCAAACTGCTTCTGTTAACGAGAGAGTGCGGCCTTCGACGGCAGTACTTGGTCTTTCTCTCGCCTTATCATTTTCGGCGGCAATGGCAGCTCCTGATATCTTGACATTCCGTATGTCTTCCTGATGTACCTTGATGGTATTCGCATCTCTACCGGCGCTAAGGAAGACCCTGGCACGTTCCTCTTCACCAGCAGCATATTTAGCTAGATAGTTTGCAGTGAAAGTTGGACTACAAATCTGCAGATTATCGCTACTTTTTGCAGCTGCGAATATCCAACAATTCATTGGAGAGAAACGTGTGTCTGGATCTGCCGGATACATGTGCTTCTTCGCGGTGAGCTCCTCTGTAGGGAGCAGACCTTGAGTCCCATAAGGAGTGAGACCTACTGCTGCCAGACCACAGCCCTGCAAAACCTGCAGTGCTTTGTCGGAATGCTGAACATGTATAGTCTTGGTGCTATAGCAATGAGATGTAGGTCGCTTGGAAAAGCGACAGATCGATTTACCGTCGCTATCGCGCTTCTTATGACACCTATATCCGCATTTTGAGCAGTCATGCTCATGCACGACAGCGGCCAAGTCCTTTAACTCGCTAGCTTCCTTATAATCTTTAATTAATCCAGCATCAATAAATTTCTGATAATCAAAGAAACAGCTACTCTTCTTAGCGCAGACTCTATGCCTTACGGCAGGAGATTCAGGATCCTCACCAGTCCATATGAGAGCATGAATATGAGGAAGGTTACCTCTCGTTGTTTGAAATTCCCAACGCCACCAGATCTTCTTGACTGGTCCTAAGGGCTGTTCAGGAGATGTCTCAATATATTTCATGAGATAAGTTCCAGCACGTTGCCACGCTCTGGTAATTGGCACAAGTGCGGCTTGGATCGCAGAATTCCGTGTTTCTTCGGAAGCGCGATCATACTTGTTCAGTAACCACTGAAAAATCGGGCTAACCCCAAAGTGTTCAGATTGATTGCAGCTATGAGTATAGAAATATGTCGGCTGTTCTCGAGATATTTCAGCTGCTAATTCATTAACGCGCTTACGGGAATCAGCGTCGCAAAATGGTAGTCGACCTTCAACCTGTAAGGTTTGATATGTTGAAGGGTCGCTCGACAGATGTTCCCATCCTCGCGAAAGTACTATGCGGGAGTCACTGTGGGACAGCTGTAAGTTAAAAAGCGCATCGAAATAAAACTGAATAGCACGAGGGTCAGTCGAGGTAAGCAAAGTTGGATCTGTAAGACGCGTCTTAATGTGGTCTGATAAGCTAGCGAATCCTGCCTTTTTACATGCATCGTTTGAAGTCCACAGACAGTGGGGTATTGCACCAACCACTGCTCCGTTCGTATAGGACTTCCAAAAGATGCTCGGGAAAAGCATACCCTCTGGATATAAAAGAGGAATAGATGCTCCAGCAAATCTTGCTGTGAGCCGCTGGAAAAATGCTCCGGACTTGGCAGAAACGTAGTTCACACTACCGGGACGATTAAGCAAGCCGTAATGCTTGTTCAACAAAATATGTCCTGGTAATCCATACTGATCATCATCCACCATAACGGGGATGTCACCAGCACTAGTAGCTGGCATATCAGTGTCTCCATCTTCCATGTCCCCTCCAGCAAGAGGCATATCTAACTCGAATGCTCCGTCGGCCGGTAAGTCAAGTGGCTCCCCATCAGAAACAGAACCTTCTTCATCCCGCTGCTGGTTTATTAAATCGCCCAAGGGATCAACGGCTGGTTCGTTTTCATCTGCTGCGGGCAATTCATGGTTGTGAAGACCTGGACGGGCTGCAATTTGCTGCTCTGGATTCTCGAAAACATGAATAACTCCAGAATTATGAGCAGCACGCTCCATGCTTCTTTGCTATGCATACGGCATAAGCAAGACACGCAATCGTCTTTGGGCAGACCACTTGCCTACACGATTACAGGAGAAGTTCCCAGTAGCATCCCGATATCCACACTTTAGACTGGGACGATCTTCTGTAGCAGAAGGTGTCACTATGAGTGGAACGTGGTGTCTATCACACACCATAGTGCCTGACCACTGTATACTGGAGATAGTCTAACGAAGACTTCAGCAGGTGCCCTCCCGCATGGCGAACATATATCACACATCGCCAAGAACCCTGCAAGCTTGTTAACCTTTCTTCGGCAGATTCTAATTTTCTAACGATCGGATCACGGGAAGCCTCAAACCAGGATGAAAAAGGACCCGGATTGCGGAGCAAACATGTAGCTCCCCAATTGAGGTTCTCGCCTCGGTTGTCAGCCCGGTGCCAAGGACTATTAGCATTCCCATCAATATCAATGATAGACACAAGCTCCCAAGTCGAATTGTCAGAGATAACATATCGCGCTAAAACTGCGGCACGTCTACTAGTTGTTGCTCTAGCTGCCGTGCATATGGCTATTACTGAACAGTTTTCCTGTGTAGTTTGATCAGGAAGTTCTCCAAGTCTGGCTTCGATAAAGTCCCCGTCAATTCGCACTGACCGATTATCCACATGACAAGCATGTGTATTCGGCAGTGTTTTGAGAAAACGACACAATAATACAGATGTATCCTTTGAAACGGCATCTTGTTGAGGATTTGATATGAGGCCGCGTACAGTTTGGGAACGTGATAACATGGTTCTCTGCACGGCGATGGGATTAGCCCTGTGTGCTCCAGCATTGTTTCTACGACTTGACGATATACTACCAGGGATGAAAGTAGATAGATACGCCTTCGCAACACGTATTTGAAGAACTTCTTCTTCGTTATCACGGTCGATAGCCTCAGCTGAGGCGAAGTTGTGCCATAGCACAGGAAAGACGGAGAAAAGGCGGACAAAGACCCAGAGAAGAGGTACGAATTTGCTTTGGAATTTATTAATTATTCTGGGAGCAGCACCGTATGAATCGCAAACTTGAGCATTTGCATACGCTAGTGGCCACGTTACATTACGACGATTAGGCTCCTCTTCGGCCTGTATTGCAACGTCATTTTGCTCATTTTGAGGATTCTCGTCAATGTCCTCATTATCAGCTCGAAGCAACACATCTTGTTGTTGTTCTTGCTCAGGTTGTTGATGTTGTTGCTGTAGATTCTGCGGCTGCCCATCTACTACGACTGACACTTTGTGTTTCATACTGTGCAACAACTTAATAGAGTCATCGAGAGAGACGAAAGTCGCTCCCGCCAGGGCTTCCTTTCTAGCGGTAGGATGAGGCGTGTCTACCCTTAAAAGTGCATCAAGCTTGGGTTGAGCGAGAGGGTTCTTAGAGTAGCATGATCTCACAAAAGACTCAACATCTGGCCGACCGTCCAAAAATAGAGCTTCCAAGTCGGCGTGGTGTCTCGACTTAATGTTCCATCTTGGTTTACTAGTAACAGAAAAAGAGGAAAGGCCTCCAAATCCACCTTGCACAGTCCGCATTTGCCAAGTGTGAGAAGCGTACTTTGCTTTCATTCCACGGAAAGGC